GAGACCTGCTTCGGGCAAAAGACCTTTTGAGTTTAGGGTTTAGAGTTTAGAAGAAGCTTTTTGGGTTTAGCGTTCAGGGTTTGGGGTTGAGGCCTGTCCGAAGCAAAATGAAAGAAGGGTTTTGGGTTTAGGGTTTGGGTTCAGGCTGAGGCTTGCCTGGGGCAAGAAGCGTTTTGGGTTTAAAGGTTTGGGGTTTGGGGTTAAGGTTGGGGCTTGCCTGCACAAAAAGTGCCTTGGGTTTAGGGTTTGGGCTTCAGGGTTCTGATTGAGGCTTGCCTGGGGCAAGAAAGAAGTATGCGGGGTTTAGGTTTTAGGGCTTGAAGGGGTTCAGGTCAAGGCCTGCTTGAGGCAAGAAACAAATGTTTTGGGTTTTCGCTTTGGGATTGAGGGGTTTGACCACATGCCCAGCTTGGGGTCTCATTAAGGGTTTGGGGCCCCAAGCCTTCAAAGGCCTTTCTTTGCTGGCAAGGTGTCACCTGGACACCCAAACCCTCTCTATAAACACTATAAACACCCCAAACTCAGTGTAAAAACCTCCCTTTTAACCTACCTGAAATGCTTGAAAAACCTCCCTNNCCCTTCGGTCAAAACCCCAATGGGGGCCTGAAGCCCAGTCCTAAAACCCCATACGACACCCTGCAATCCCAACTCCACTGGTTTTGGCCTCCACTGAGCTCCAAACCCTGCAGCAGCCACCCTTTGTTCGAAACCCCACTTGAGGTCCTGAAAACAGACCTGAAGCCTAGTCCGCAAACCTCCACCTAAGTCGGAAATCCAGTCTCTGTGTCATTGACAACGCATTTGGCCTCGCCTGCAGGCCAACTGAAGGCACCTGGCAGTGAGGAATGAATCCATACAAGGAAACAGACATGTCTCAGTTGGAATGAATGTCTGTGAGAATGCAATGCTGAGCTCATATTTTCTCAAGCCTCAAGCCGCTTCTGCCCCTGGTGCACACTAGCTGAGCTTGTAGCAACGGCCTGCTTGCAAGCGCCTTGCCTTTGTCAGCAAGAATCGTGGCTTTGCTGGAGTCAAGGAATCGCCCTGGGAGGCATTCGGAGTCCACGAGAAATGCATGTAAAGCTTGATGATCTTCCTGCTGTGCTCACCAGTGGTCCATGAAATCTCCTTGAAATCCAACAAGCTGCCAGCATTGGAGTGGTCTGCCTGGGTCCTTGTGGGAACCCTCTTAGGCAGGTAGGAGCAGGCCTCCTTCTCGGTGACTTTGACAGCGCCATCTGACCCAACTGAAATTTCATTGCACGGCATGTTCACACTGACAATGGTATGATCTTGGAGATAGTCCAGGAACTTCTTGAGGGTCGAAGGACCTCTGGTGAAGCCAGGCTCCCATTTCGGCCCTCCTGGGTGGGAGAAGCAGGCAGCGGTATCCCCACCTGCAACCTTGTAGGACATTGTATCCTTCTTGGCAGCATCCTTGCCAGTCAAGAACTCACCATGCAAGTCCATCAGCGGAACTTCAGTGCTCAACACGCCATCGCTTTTCGCATGAAGATACATCACATTCTTGGCCGAGAAAACGAGCTCAAAGAGGGCAGGCTCATGGGACTGGATGACTGTCACATGGCCATCCGCCTCCTTCACTTTCTCCAGGCTCTCAACGCAATCCTCATCGGGGAAAGGGTCGCCCTGAACTTCACTCTTGCTGTCTGGCTCTGTGCGCTTGCCTGTGCCTTTGTATGGAGTCCCAGATGGATTGTGCTTATCATTGTGCTTGGCCTTCAAGTCTTCGTACTCCTGGTGGAGCTTGCTGAACTTTGAATCGTACTCGTCGAGAACCGATTGGCGGAATGCCAGGTGCTTCCCTTCAACTGGAGCAGTCAGCACATATTCACGGGTGTCGTATGTTGGAGCTACCCCCTCTTGACTATAGTCTTTGAGGACCACATTCGGGAGCTTCAGCAGCTTCTCCTTCACATACTTCTCCACCTGATTGTCACCAGCCCTCTTCAGCCACTCTGCCATCTTTACTCGATGGCTGGGATCATCTGCATATGCCCACACACCGCTGATGACCATCTCATGTGGATGACGACCTGCAGGCTCCATTGCAGTCTGCAGGCATGCTTGAAGGAGCCCGTGGTCATACGGGAACAGGTTGACATAGGCGGCAAGAGCCCCAGGGCCTGCATCGAGCCCCTTCCAAACAGCTTCCTTGACCTTCAGCCAAAGGTCTTGGCCGGAGATGTGTTGTTTGTACTGCTGGGCTTTGCTGAGATTGACAGTGTTCAGCTGGACGGAGACAGTCTGCAGCGGATTCACGAATTCGCCCACTGTTTTGGATCTGATGCCCACACAGGCGCGGTGATGCCACAGGGAGCTCTTCGTGAAGCGGCTCAAGAGTTCTCCATTGGCATCTGTGGTGTCCGCTACACAGATCCACATGGGGTGCACAAGGCTTCGCTTCGAAGATCCGAAGGCCTCTGGGGCGAAGCAAAGCTGACATCTCTTCACATGCATCTTGTAGATGTCTGTCCGCAATTGCGTCTCCACATCATCCTGGGCCTTCTCCACAAACGAGTCCTCATAGGTGTTTCCGAAGGAGGCTACATTCGGCGCCACCACCACTGCAACACTCCTGCAACAGTTAAGGGTAAGTTGACTAATGCAAATGCATAGCTACACTGCTTTCTATTGACACTGTCCTCTCCGCACCAGCTGCCAGGGCATCCCCAATAATGCGGCATGCACGGGCGAGGTAGCGTGAAGAAGCATTACCGAGGGATGCGAAGTCTACCAAGTAGATGTAATAGATGTCATCATTGGACTTGCCCAGTGAGTCTGCCCAATCTTGGCTGCAGTTCCGGACATATGGGATCACAGCGTCCTCCCCTGTCAAGGCTTTGGTTGGGAAGGTCTTCTGTGTGAAGGCAGTGACGCAGTCCTGAAAGGATGGTATCACAAAATTGCAACCCTGAATGTGCACATGACATTTTTTACTTAGGCCCCAGTCCTTCAGCTTTGTCTCCTGGGTGCGAAGGAACTCCACCTTTGCAGCTTTCTGAACTGCATGGAACTCCTGGAGAGATGTTTGGTATCTCTCCCACTGCTTGACCTCCCTCTCCAGCTTGACAGAGAACAAGTTGAGCGAGGCCTTCTCTTGCTGTTCCTCTGCCACCATCTCCTTGTCTTGAAGTTGCTCTGGGGCAACCTCCACACCTGTGTACACTTGCAAGAAGCGGAAATTGTCCAGGCAGATGCCTTCATCAAGGAGCTTGCACTTTTCTTGCATCTCTTTGTCCAAGCAGCCTGTCAGGAACAAGCGCTCCAAGTTGACGAAGTCGTTGTCTGCCACACGCTTCTTCACACTGTCAGCGAAGTGTGTCCACAGGCAACAGGTCTTCCATGCAAGAATTGGATCCTGCACCCGCAGCTTGCTGGCCTGTATCTTGGAACTTTTCTTGGCAGTCTGGCGTTGCTGCTTGTTGTTGCGCAAGAACACACTGATGAGGTAACGCAGGCACACATAGGCTTTTTCTGGAGACGGCTCCAGGATCTTCGCCCAGATGCCGGAAACATCTGCAGGAACATTGAGGGAGAAGACTTCCATGGAAAAGAATTTCATGGTCACTCCACTCTCCGCTGTGCGGAAATTATTCCAATGTGTTTCCAGGTCAGTCACAAACCCAGGGCTTTGCCGTGGTAGGCTAAGCAAGACCTGCTTCTCCAACTCAGAAACGCGGTGTCCTGCAACGGATGCCTGGGAATTGAAAGTGTCGATGAGACGCTTCAGCCCTGCACTGATGTCAGAGACATTCTGCTTGGTCAATGCATCCATGAAGGTTCTGTACAACTGGCAGACATCTGGACGCATACTTTCAGACACCTGAAATTTCGCCCGCAAGGCAAGGAAACGGACATCTGTGTCTGTCTGGGCAGCCTCCCAAACACAGGTCACCACAGAGATGCTGGCGAGAACATGGGCGATGGCTATCATCTCAGCATCTGTAAGTTTCAGGTCCAGAACTGCTTGCCAGATAACCTTCATGGCCAGGCTGCGACCCAGGCCCACAATGTGCATGACACTGAGGTCGGCCACAGCTGACCCGGGCAGGCCAAACTGAATATTCAGCGGGCTGCGCTGGTCAACATAGAAGGAGTCGAGAATGCTGAAGGCAATTTCCAAAATTGCAACCATTTTGGAACGGCCCTTGATTGCCTCCAGCCCCAGTTGCCACACTGCAAGAAAGCCTGTCCAGGGGCTTTCCGGTGTTGGGAAGGCAGGTGCATTTGCCTCAGGCACCCGCTGCAGTGTGGGATGCATGGGCTGCAGCTGTCGAAGGCGTTGCACTTCATTCTTCAGTGCATCTGCAAAGGCGGGCTGGGCAGCAAAGAAGTCCACACAGTGCTTGCACTCGTTCTTCTCTGGATCTGAGGCATATGTCTTGGCAATCTGCTGCTTGATCTTCAGCTTTACAGCTGCAGCCATTATCATTCTGAGCGCAGGCCAAGAAACTTGAAACTAGGTAGGCTTGAGTTCAGTACCTGGTTAAATGGCATGCTTGGCAAGAAGCGATTTGCAGCTCCTGCAACACATAGCTTTGAAAGCAGCACTGTGCAACATGCACGCAAGAGAAATGCAGTTGGATGCTACAGTCGATCTTGATTTTCTTGTGCAGTCCACTGGCGCGCCTCCTCTGACCCCTTGGAGACTGCAGCGACAACTCAGCGATGGAACTTAACAAGCATGGGCCAGGAATCATCTGGCAAATGCTCATAGTACATGTTTTGCGTCACAGGAATTACCTCTCTGTGAGCCGGCGGCTGACCCTGCAGCCAGAGCAATGGGGGTGCAACAGGATCTGCTGCAACATCTGACAAGTAGCGCAATCTGATTTCAGCTGCAGCACGTGAAAGGTCGACAGCTGGCGACTCCAAGTATGTGGCAAGCTTTCCAAGCACACCCTTGTCCTCGGGAGAGGGTGGCTCTGCTACCAAGATCTGTGTAGGGAGCGGCGGCAGCTGAGCCGCATCAAGTTTACTCTTCGGAAGGACAAGAACAGGTGCATGGGACTCAGTCATATACATCCTGCCCTTCAAGATTGCATACACGTCCTCTGCATCAGAGATGGATGGTCGGCGAAGCCTTCCAAGTTGGTCGAGCTCCTTGGGCAGCAAGTCAACATAGCACTTGTAGACAAAGGAGTGCGCAGCAGGCCTTGTGCGATTGCCTCGGCCTGCATGGACCATGTAACACCCACTGGGCGTCATCTTCAATGCAGACAGCCACTCTCTGTAATCCCGCACAACTCGCATTTCTTCTACCAGAAGGCCTTCGCCCTTGCGCGCTGCAATGGGCTCCAACTCCTGCCTCAGAGCTGACCCCAAGTCGTCTGGCGTCTCAACCTTCTTGGAACGGATCACCTTCTCATTCACATAGGCGAAGACCCTGTCGAGGTCCTCATGAGTGTGACCTTCGACTAAAAACCCGCAGGTCACAGACAAAAATCGACCAGAGCCGGTCAGGTATGCAGCTGCTTGGGTCATAAATTGGTTCTTCAGAGCAGCAGTGGTATTGTCACTCTGGATGTGCAAGTGTCTTGGACACTCACATCCAGACTCAGCTGCCATGGACATGACTCTGTCAATGCAACGAAAGAGGACCTCCAGGTGAGCTGATGCGCCGTGATGTAGACGGTCATCTTGATAGAACATGCCCATGAACCATCCGTGCACAAGGGCGCCTGTCAGCACGAGACGCGGGCGGCAAAGGCCTTGAAGATTGGCAGGAGACTTGTGCCAGGGGTATTGGGGCCACACGGTTTTCCCCTTGTCCATCGCATCTATCATGATGGATAACACCCCCTGGCGCTGTTGTGAGCTGTGTCTTAGGGCCCAATATATCATTCGATCGTGATACTGGCTTCTTAGATGTTCTTGAAGATTCAAAGCCACAGAGGCCTTCTCAGCTCGCGGGACGCCGGCTTTCTGCAGCAACTGTCGCATCTGGAAGCATGCGTTGCAATCTTTGTGCTGGGAAACCTTCCTGAAGTTCATGAGAGAACTCCATTTGTTGACCCAAAGCCTCCACCAAGTTGACCAGCTTGGCATTTGAGTGCAAATCTGGCCCTGTGCTGAGCCACTCCTTTGCAACATTGCTTGGTTGGCTGTCCACCAGGCTTTGAACTGCAGGAAGAGCAAGACAGGGCGCCCAGGAGGCAATGTTCGTACTCGTCCTTGTGGCCGGTCGGGGCTTTGGAGTGCAACAACATTTTGGGCAAGGCTCGCTTCTGGTGTCCAGAAAAATGCATCTTCGATGGACTCAACAAACTCATCCGCAGACTCTGTACATTGTTTCTCAGGCAAGTCTTCGGCAACACTGTGATAAAGTTCGCTGAAAAACAGGTCGATGATTGCCTGCTGCTTCGGGGTCTGCCGACACAAGCTCCCATGTTGCATGTGATTTCTCCTCATGTCTAACACCCCTTTGACTCTCTTTTGCAATGTTCTTTCTGCAGTGCCGAGCAAGCTTGCCAGCCCTCTGAGACAAACAGACTTACCAGCCAAGCGCCATTTGGTTCTGCGCGAAGCGGCCTCTGCAGTCTCAGCCATGGTCGGGCCTACCCATTGGCCTTGCAGGTACTGTGTCTGCTGCTCTTCACTGAGGCTGTGCCAGAAATCAGCGATCTCTTCCACAACCTTGGTCTTCATGTCTTGGAAGCAGGAACTGCGGCAAGGACAACCTGCTGTCAGTGCAGAGGCGATGCGGGCAGGATCTTTGGCATTGGCAGTGTACACACTCTCAGGGGCATCTGAGGGGACCAAAAGCCCAAGCATGCCAGAATCCAGTGAAATCTCATGATGTTGACAATACACTTTGCGCACCATGTCGCAGGTGGCTTCAACATCGAGTGACAAAGACGGCTGCTTCCAAGCTGGTTGCTTGCTTACACAGCTGCTGAATCCATTGACATTCANNAATCACATGAGAGGCGGGGCTTCTTCCACAGCCCCTCTGATACATTATCTGCGCCGGAGTTGCCAGTGACTAAAGGTCTTCGCAATTCAGGCGACTGAAAATTCAGGCGAGGCTTCTTCCACAACCCCTGCGAAAGAAGGTCAGTTGCATCTTCAGAGTCATGGCTCAAAGCAGCTGGAGGTGTCTTCCAGCTCATTTCATGAACATACACACACATGCAGAAATGACAGGCTGCAATGGCTTATGATTTCTTGCAAGTGTCTGCTGCTTCCGGTCGTACCCTGCAACCTCGTGCCCAAAACCCACTGTCCAACACAGCACCGACTGAATTTGACGCATGCAGGGCAAAGGCAAGTCAGTCTGCAGAGGGAACAACCAAAAGACTCCAGAGCTCATTGAGCAGAAATGGTGGCATACTGCAACCTTTTTCAGCTTGTACCTGCTAGGGAACTAGGGCTCAGGATGGCAGTTCCATCTGCTGAGAATTTTAATTGCCACACTGGAGATCACGGCTCACAAGTGCAAGGGAGGCTGCTTCCAGGAGGAACTTGACTGGGATCTCTCAGAGGATTCGGTGTCTACGAACTTGCGCTTCCGGACTCCCTGATTCTGACACTGGGCCGCTTTCCCCTTCAGCCAGCACTGGACCAAAGCCTTGCCCATGGCTTTGGGGTAAGCAGCGGATGCTGAAAGGGCTTCAGGGATGCCAGCAAACGTGCCATTGTCATAGGTCTTGACCAAAGGCTCATGCTTTCCATCTGGGCACTTGCAGGTTCGATACATGTTAGCGATCCAGGAGGGGCCATAGAGTTTGAAGATTTTCAGGAATCGCTGTCCAAAGGGCTTGCGGTCGAAGGTACATCGCGCAGTC